AATGACATGCATTTGAAATGTTAAAGAGGAGAAGAGAAACAGAAAGCTGAGCTACCAGCTAAGCAGGATTTCTGCACTGGGAAATGGCTGTGAGGAGAGCAGGGGAATTTAAAGAAGGAGAGAGGGAGAGAGAGAGCTCTGAGAGAAAAGAAATGACTTGTTCAAGTCCAGTGATAGAGGAGTTTACCTATCCTTTCCTGAGCTCACTCCATTTAATTAAAGATTGATTATTCAGAAATTGAGCCTGAGCGAGGTCACACCCAAATTGAAGACTGTAATTGGGGTGAGCTGCTAGAATGATCTGAAGGGCAGCGATTATCTCTGGGGGGGGGGCAGGAGGAAATGGTAGAGTAGTAGGGTACTTAGGCAGGGCTCCCAGACGTCCCAGAAAATAAAGAAAGGTAAGGCAGCAGAGGGATGCTCCTTCTTGGCAAGGAAACATCCCAAGTTCAAACAGAAAAACAGAGTTGGCAGCCTCTTGGGCAAGTGGAGGGGGTGAGACTACCAAAATTTCGGCTGATGGAACAGCGATAGCTATAGAAGCCAAAGAAAGGATTAGAAAAGTAAATTCAGGGTGAGCTATATATGGATTACCTGGATCTGATTGGATTGGGTTGGGGTCTTCTCAGGTGGACAACAGAAGATGATTGCAGTGTGGTCAAAAGCGTCAGGCAAGGTAGAAGCTTCACCCATGCCTAAGACATGCTGGGCAGAGACATTCAGGCAATGTCAATCAGAGTTATCAAACCCAACTGGCCCCTTGACAGTAATCCAAATGTGCAACTGGAGGATTTGCAAAATGAGAAAAGGCTTCACTCACTGTTAGAAAGCAATGATAGAAAGAGACAGACAAATCTCACTGGAGAAGAAGTTCCAACCCTTTGGTGCCAATGACCAAGAAGGCCCTTTCTTAAGTTGTCATCCATCTAGCCATGGGCACCCAAACCAGGGCCTCTGAAGATGACCAGAGTGGTTGGGGAGTTAGTAGTCCCTCAGGTATACAAGGTCGATTCCAGCATGTTGAATTGGGCCTGGAAGTCATTGTGGATGGAACAAAATTGGAGTGATATGGTCCCTAACACTCTATTTAGTATTCTGACGGCAGTATTCTGTACCAACTGTAAGCTTCTTCAAGGACAGCCCCCTGTAGATTGCATTGCAATAATCTAATCTAGATGTTAATAGAGCATGCACCACAGTGGCAAATCTTTCTTGTCCAGGAATGGCTACAGTTGGCTCACCACCCAAAGCTGGTGAAAGGCATCTCTGGCCAGCACTTCCACCTGTTTACCCAGCAGACGTTTAAGGTCCATCAGTACCCCTAAGCTACAAACCTGCTCCTCTGGGGGAGTGCAACCCCATGCAAAATGGGAGACATCCCAATTCCTGAGTCAGACCTTCCCACCAGTATGGGGATATGTACCATGACATCCCTGTAGCATTTGCACATTACTTGTGTGGTAAAATTAAACCTGACTTAAATCTTCCCAAAGCTCTGTGGTCTTGTTTGCAGCTACATGTTCAGCAGAGAAACCAATGGGTTGGATTCTGTGCTTCATTCCTCTTCTACAAATGGTACTTCTTCTCCCATGAGATTTCTGATGGTATTTCTCCCCACTATAGACCTCCTGCAGACCATCACTCCAGACTGTTTCTGACATTCTACTGATCCCCAGGAGCTGGATTTTGGAGTCAGGAAAGGTTTTTTAGTACACATAGAGTTCAGGATTTAATGTGGGAAACACTGCAGATCAGTCATTGCATAACCATTGAATTAATTAGCATATGATAGGAAAACATTAATAAAGCAGCTAGTGTCTCACATGCCCTGTGTGCTCATATGCTGGTGAATATTATGGCACACACACATTGTAATATGAATACATGAATGATAACTTTGTGCAGATGACCCATCCGTACGTTGACTCACGACTCACCACATGAGAGAGAGAGTGCATTCACACATACACACACACACACACACACACACACATGCAGTCACTTTGTTCTCTGCATTGGGCAAACATGTGCAGGGAGTACCTGCTCATATACCTTCACCCCATGATCAGTGATGCTGCTTTCTGAACACTCCTGATCAAGTCATTGCACAGAGGGGTCATCTTCCCAGGCCTGCTGAATCAGACCATTGGTGTATAAAGGTCAGTATTGTCTGTTTTGACTGACAGCAACTCTCCAGGGTTTGTGGTAGAGGCCTTTCACATCACCTACTACCTGATCCTTTTTTTTTTCAGCTCAAGCAGTCAAAAATCTTTATACTTTTTTTTAACAGTGGGGAACAAGCTGTTCTTGGATGCTGTACTTTTCTTTATAATAATATTTTTATTGGGTATATCTATCAATCTACATATACACAAATCATTGTCCATCTTATTGATATACCCATTTTCAACTTTTTACACAGGTAATAACCAAGCAAAAGAAAAAAGAAAAGAAAACCTCCCTGAGGTTGCTATTTCATCAACCCAATCCTTTTTAATCTCATTTAATTCCCCCTCTTTTCTTATACCCCTATTTTACCTGTTAATTAGGTCCCCATACAACTTTCCCCAAAACTTATAATTAACCTTGATACATTTCATATTCTTCAGTTCATTCCTACATCAGTTACTACTATCCGTCTTCTTCTATTCCTGAAAAGAAAAGTTGAAAGGAATTGCCTCCAGTTATGGGGGCTGAAGAGAAGAACTCTACAGTGGGAGGAAAAACCTCCTCCCTCCCTATATTGGAGGTCTTGGGGGGGGGTACACTCTTCACCTCCTTGCTAAACTCTAATCTAACACTTAACTCTTATATAACATTCTTGCTTAATAATATTTAGAGTCTAAGTCTACTCTTATACTAATAAACCCAACTTTCTATTGTTTTTTCATACACACACTATAACCTAAGTATCAATGCCAGAACACATCGCTCCCTTCAAACACCTCCTTCCTTCAATTTAATAACAGCCTCCACTAACTTTTTACCCGTTGTCTCATTATGTGCTGAGAACGTTTTGTTATTTAAATTGTCCACCAAGTGGCCAAGCACTAACCATCTATAAGGGATCTCCTTTTCTCTCAGTGTCTTTGCTGTTTCACGTAGTCTTTGTCTCGCGATAAGCACCTCTGGTATGATGTCTGCATACAAAAAAACACACGTATCTTGTTTTTCTCGTACTATTTTAAAAAGTTTGTTTCCAGTCTGTAGCTCCTTGAACTCCATAATTATGTCTGGTGAGGCGCCTTCAGGGGCTCTTTTTGATATGTTGATTTGAAAGGCAGAGGTGATTATCTCTTCTGAAGTCTCTGCTTCTCCCGCCAATCAAAGAGTGCTGAAGCCATTTGTTTAATTCCTCTTTAAGATTTCCTGTCACACAGAAATTTGAGGAAACTCCACGGAGTTTCGCTTTTCTTTCTCTTAACCTGGTCTCCTGAAGAATAATTTTGTTCTTAGCCCACTCTTGAACTCTTGTAGCTCTGACAAAACATCAGCCGCTTTTCTGACAATTTGAAATGCGGATTCAGCTTTTTCCCCCATCGCTTTCAATGATGAGGTAAGTTCATCCAATTTTTGCTTTATCGGGTCAATTATGAGATTGAGCTGGGAAATTCCTTCCTTAATTGCCCAACATCACCACTCAAAGTTTTTATCTCGCTTTTTATTTCTTCCTTTATTTCTGATAGTCTAGCTTTGGTCTAGCTTTCCTCTCGCTTCTTCAAACAAAGAGGTCTCTTGATCTGATTCTTCTGAGTCAATAATGTCTTTCCTCTGCAGTTTATAAGGCAGGTTTCTAGCTCCCTTTTTTCCTCTGGTCCTTCCCATGCCTGGCATTGAGAGTTTTTAGAAAAGTAGCTTGTTTGTTGAGAAGCAAAACATTATTTTTCATTGGGGATAGCAGGAGAGCGTGAGAGCTGGAGCCGACCGGAAGGACAGCCACCACACACACACACACACCTGATCCTTTTAAGTGGAAATGCTACGGATTGGATTTATGACCTTCTTCATGCAAAGCAGATGCTCCACCACCGGGCAACATCTGCAGCTAGCAGTGATACTTTTTCTAAACGTTTTATTATTTCTTCTTAAGAGCTAACTGTGGCTTAAAATGCACCTCTACCTTTTTATGAAAATTGTCTTATGAATGGGTAAAGATCGGTGTTGTGAATGGGTAAAGATTTTGGAGCACTGAAGAGCTGGTGCACAGATACACCAGCTTCGTCTTCCTTGTACAAAATATGATGCAAAAATAATTTCAAGTGGCTTTTCCTTCCTATTTATATCTGAATCTAGCAAATAGTTTGCCTTTCAGAGTGAAACTATAGTGAAACTCTTTGAAACTATTTTGGCTCTGGCATGTATTACTGCAGTTGGAAATCTTTCGTATTCTCAAATGTAATTAATAAGGTGACATTAAAGGTGGCTTTCTAACAACAACCAATTGCTTTTTATTATTAAATAGATGCCATTTCTCAGTTGAGAGAAGCATAATTCCTCGAAAAGCTTTCATCTATGAGATTTTGTAGCATGCAGATGTAATCAATTAATTAAAAGGTTAAAAAGTAAAAACCAGAATTCTTTTTGATTAAAGGTTACAAATGTCTCTGGTCAATGGACTGCTATATCTTTTATTATTAGGACTCATGAAGCAGCTACACAGTCTGTAGGGTTTCTGCCTCAGGACCTAAAGGTTCTGTGTTTAAGCCCGAGAGTGCTTGTCTGATGTAGCCTTCATCATCATCATCATCATCATATCAATAATAATGTTATTATTACAAAAAGGAGGCTAAACTAGATAGTTCCAACAAGGGTCATCTTGTGAGAATATGCCTGACTGTTTAATTTTATATAAGTGGCTCTGTGAATATAAAATATGTGGAGACTAAAATATGCATTAATGTCACTAGCATATATTAGATGTCCTTTCATTGTTTTGAGCAAGTGGGCTGTTTTTAATTCTGTTTTGACATTTTTGAACCATCTCTTCTTTTTTCCCCTAGGCATAGTTTCTAAGTCCTATGAATGTCGGCTGAAGGGTCAAGGAGCTACATTCGTAGAAACCACTAGCCCTTTTACCACAGCAGCCCTGGGAGAAATTTCTCCAATTAAAGAGAAGGTTCTTCAGAGTGATGGAAGACAACTACCATCCACCGAACAAGTTCAGCAAGTGATTATTATTCAAGGCTATGACAGTGATTTTTCAATTGATGCCTCAGTTGAGGAAACAGCAGCAGCTACACTTCAGACATTGGCCATGGCTGGCCAAGTGGCAAGAGTTGTCCATATTACTGAGGATGGGCAAGTTATAACCACAAGTCAAAATGGCTCTCATGTGAGCAGTATGATTCCAGGACAAATACTCACGGAACAATTGCCAGATGGAAAAACACAGGTGGTTGTCGTTGAAGGCCCTTTAGGAGGGACTGATATTGGAGATGCTGTTTCCATAGAAACAGGTTCAGACTCCAGTAATGCTATGGTACAGCAGATAATGAGACAGGAGATTTTAGATCCATCAGAGGTTGCAAGACTACACCCACCGGAGTCTGCCTCAGCCTTAGATGCCTTGCTTTGTGCTGTAACAGAGCTGGGTGAAGCAGAGAACAAAGCAGGACTCCTGGACAGAACACAGCTCGATCACAAAGATGCACTACAGATCTCAGATCCAGAAGCACACATTGTTTCTAATGGCAGCACAGTTCAGGAAACACAGATGTTCCATGACATTCAAGGGACTGATGAAGAGAGAGAACCTATGGAAGTAGTAACACAGGTTGTGCACCCATCTACCATAATTGCCTCTCAAGAGAGAGCAGAGGTCACCTTCAAGAAAATGGTTGAACGAGTGTTACAGTTTGCTGTATGTGATACAGCTGCAGCAGACCAGCTGATGAAAGAAGGTGTCACTCAGGTTATTCTGAATGAGGAAGGGACTGTGCATATGGTGGCTAGAGAAGGTTCTCAGATAATAATGCAAGAAGCTGGCAGCCATACCCTGAGTGTCCAGAGTGAACATATGGACTTGATCGGCCCTGATGGAGAAATTTCACAGATCATCGTCACAGAGGAAATAGCTCAAGCCATGGTTAGGGATTCTAACACCAGCTTCTCTGAGGGTGCAACACATTACATTGTAACAGGATTACCACAGCAGTTAGAGGATGAGTCTGGAGTATATTCACATACTGTGATAGATGCAGATGAGCCTCAAGAGATTTTGCAGGCTGGCACTCTTGGGAACTCTAATAGTATATCTTCTGATGGAAATGGCGAACACCTTGCTAGTATGGTCATTTACACAGAAGAGGGTTCACAAACGGCTGTTGTCCAGGGCCAAAGAAATAGTAATGAATTACAGGAAGTATGAAAGAATCAGCGTTCATACAGCTTTGGCGGCGGATAAAATGGGACACTTGGAGACATTATAATTAATTTAATTTGTCAACATTCTTGAGTGATATTCTTCTACCCAGATATTCAACACATTCTGTCTGAAGTTAATGTCAGTTGGGAATGATCTCCAGAAAGGAAATTCTTTTTGTCATGGAACAAGACATTTATTGTCCAAAAAAAAAGTCAGAAATTGTCAAAAAGTTACAAACATTAAAAGACTTACAAAATAAATCAAAAGGTGCAGCAACCAAAGGTAAATTTAATTCAATGAGTCAGCATTTCATTGCATTATGACCTCCTAATCTTAAATTTTGTTGTTTTTTCCAATTAATTATGTTAAAACTTGACATGTTTCTCACTTTGCAAACTGAGAGCAATTTTTTAAAAAATGCACTCACATTACCTAGCTGAAGTATGCATTAACATTTGGTAGTTTAAAGTTGTCTTCTGTATGTACAATAATTTTCCATTCAAAAGGTCAACTAGGCATTCCAAGTTCTTACAACCTAGATTCCCATACTCAGAATCTGATGTTGCTGGTGTCATTTCACAATATATGTTTGTGCCACTTTTTAAAGAAAATGGTCCCCACCCCCCAGTTTTTTCCTATTGGGTTTAACAGGCAGAATTCTTTATTACCAACACAAGTCAATGTGAAAATGAAAATATTTACCAAAAACCTGTCTTGATCCAGAAAAATCAATTTAATTTTATGTCAGTGGCTTTTTCATTTGAAATGTTCATTTGGTGTTTTGATTTTTTTTTTTTTTACCAATAGTGCTTTACATGAATACTATTTTGCAGTTCATTTTGTGAATGACTTTTTGAAACATTAAGAGGATTGTAGAGTTTTCTTTTGGGTTTTTGTTTTTTTTACTTTAACAATTCTGACATGGACTTTAAAAAGTGGAAGAAGGTTGATCTTAAGTTCTTTCTGGATCAGAATATCAATTATCTCATGGTGGATAAGTGACGATTGTTCAATATAACGTGTGTTTTGGATTCAAATACTTCTGTTCCTCTAAAAAAATTGTAAAGGGTTTTTTGTTATTTCCAATAAAAAGATAGCATTAAAAGAATTATCATGATTTTTAATATTAATCAATAAGCAAAGCTGGCTTTGAGCTAAGAAAGATTAATGTTGTCTGTCACTAGCCTGCACCAAACTGAATACAGTCCCCAATGCTTTACAGCCCTTCTATTTTTATAGTACTGAGCAGGCCAAAAAGAGAAGGTTTATTGAACTTCTGTTGGGTGCCCTGCAATGTTTCCTCTAAGCTGTGGAGTCTTATGAGCAAAAATTCTACTTTGTGAGCTACCGGCATTAAAGTTGTGAGCAAACAATGTGGCTACTGCATCAATTCGTTTGCTCTGGAGCCCTCCTTCCTGAGCGAAGGCAAAAATGTGTGAGCTGGAGGCTAAACAACTGTGAGGTAGCTCACACTAACTCAGCTTAGAGGGAACACTGGTGCCCTGCATGGCTGGTGGATTCCAGGCTGTTCAGCCTGCTCTGCCATGCCTATATATTTTTCTTCTCTCTTTCTGTTTGTTTGGCTGGATAACTAGCTGGGAAAATGAACAAAAGAAGGAGCTAGATTTCTTACAGTACCAACCACCCTAAACAGAATTATACCTTTTGGTGTCCATTGAAGTCAGTGGGCTTAGAGGGTACAACACTGCTTAGAATTGTGCTGACAGGTTTTTAGTGTGTTTTTCTTATTAGTTATGGTGCAAAGGGTATAAACCAAGAAGAAAATACATTCCGTGTACCTCATAGAATAAAATATAGGGAAGACTGGGAGCCGTATTCTCCTCTGGAAGTAAGTACTTAAACATCTATTTCCTCAGGTGCCGCACAAAACACACACTTCTCAAGGTGGCAGAGGCTTTGTTGTTGTTTTTATTTTTCAGGTTAGATGTGTCAGATCAGCCAAAAAAGGTAAAATTTCAAGACAGACACCGAGATTCATAATTAGTTGCTCATCCTTCTTAAAAGTGACAGGCTGCTCCCTTCTTTTTAAATACTGTCTTCAGCAAACAGTGACAGGATCAACTCCCGTTTGTTATCAGGAAGAAGGTGACCTTTACAAAATGATGGCCCTCTGCAAGATTCTCACAGATGCTCAAAGGAATGTTTTTCATTGAAAAGATTTCTTCTTGATCATTTTGCCTGTTAACTGGAGCCCTCTGGTCTTGTGGCTTGGATGCTAATTCTCCGCTATGCTCAGTCCTGTATGGCTAACCTTTCCGCTGCAGTACAGGGTGTTGACATTGACATGCTGCAGTTTACCATTTGTGATTTATTTAGGATAAATCTGTCTCAGGTGGCATTTAATCCTTCATAAAACCAGTGTAGCCTGCAGTGTCAAACCAGCAATCACATTGTATGCACAATGAAAAGAGCAGACCTTTGCATAAGGGGGTGGGGGAATGCAGGAAGTGTTCACAGGCTTGGAAGTGCTGAGAAGGACTCTCTGGAAACCCAGATTAATAAATCCATCTCCCTTTTGGGAGTGGGAGCATATCCTGTTTCCTGCCACCAAGCTCAGGAAAAAGTGTACTTTTCATTTTCTTAAACATACAAGTGTTTGGAATTGGAGTCCTGGATGTTTGTAAAACAGCAACCCTCTCTTCCAACTGTATTCTTCCTGCAACTATTTAGAAGAGAAGAAGAGATTGGATTTATACCCTGCCCTTCACTACCCAAAGGAGTTTCAGAGCGGCTTTCCCTTCCCCTCCACACAACAGACACCCTGTGAGGTAGGTGGGGCTGAGAGAACTCTGACAGAAACTGCTCTTTTTCAAGGACAGCTCATTATCAAAACTACGGCTTGCCCAAGGTCATCCAGCCAGGTGCAAGTGGAGGAGTGGGGAATCAAACCCGGTTCTCCCAGATTAGAGTCTGTGCACTTAACCACTACACCAAACTGGTCAGAAGCCTGCCTGAGAGTACGCTCCTCTTTCTTTTCCTCATCATCATATGATGTTCATATGCCACAAAGCTCCTAGTTCCAAACCTTTTAATCTCTGGCAGTAGCACAGAGCAGTGACTCATAACCTTCCCAAAAGGGGTATTTGGTGGATGGGTTTTGTTCACAGCCAGCATCTGATTGATCTGCTATATTTGGAGTCTGGAAGATGTTCCCCCCAGATCAGATTGGCTGGGGGGGGTATG